GTGTTATAAGTGTAATAAAATGCTCACAGCCCAGTGTTCATTTCTACACACAAACACAGCCCGCCACGGTACAGGGCTCGCACAAATGAAATCGACGCATGTCAATTGTGCATTAAATGTAGTGAATGTGCCCACAACCCAGTGCCCACAAACACTACCACGGTTTCTGTAAAACGAAACCAACACAAGTCTTCCTAGCCTCCTAGGAAATCGACGGTGTTTCAGTCTCGCCGCGGCCAGACTTCCACTGAAATTTTCGCTCGTTCAGTTCCAGAAAATGTGACTGTTCCAGTGTATTTTGCAGTAAGCAAGCCAGTACCATGCCCGCTTGCCTGCACACAAATGCTGTTCCCACGGCGACCCAGATAAATCACATAAACAGTGTATTTTCTGGTATTCCGGCCACAGCCGATGGTGTTATGAGTGTAATAAAAATGCCTACAACCCAGGGCTCATTTCTACACACAAACACAGCCCGCAAAAATGCAGGGCTCGCACAAACAAAATCGCCTCATGTCGATTCTGCACTAAATGTAGTGAATGTGCCTACGTCTCAGTGCCCACAAACAGTACACACCACATGTCCCACGGGTTCTGTAAAAACGAAACCAACACGCATTCAGTCAGCTCAGGCCGACAGTGTTTTTCAGTGCAGTAAATGTGCCCGCTGTCCTGCGCCCACATTCACTCACAGACATGTTAAGCCCCACGGGGCTCGCCCCGCTCTCTCTCCCTCAGCAAACTGCTATAAGGGTTTTGAGCGCGGCCAGGCTTCCCGCCGCGATCGGCGCGCCCCCCGCCTCACACACTGTAAACACAGTGTCTGCGTTACAGCATGCCGGAGCTCCCTTGCCGTCACTATGTCACGGCCAGAGCCCAGATCTCATTCTACCCCTAGCTATTCACGCGAAAGTGTGGGCACAGCTTCCTGGGGTATCAGAATGGGTGCTGAACACTATAAAAAGAGGCTATTCGCTACAGTTCGCTCGACGTCCCCGCCGTTATACGGCGCGCGTCGAGACGACGGTGAAAAACGAAGTATCTCATCTACTTCGAGCCGAGATTGCGAAACTACTGAGCAAAGGTGCTATAGAACCTTTATCTCAAGCTCAGAGCAAAGGGGGCCTACACAGCAGATATTTTCTGGTACCGAAAAAAGATGGAGGTCTCAGACCCATTTTAGATCTGCGACAGCTGAACAGAGCACTTGTGAAGCACCAGTTCAGAATGCTTACAACCAGGAAAATCCTCGCGCAAATTTGCCAAGAGGACTGGTTTATGTCAATAGATCTGAAAGACGCCTATTTCCAGATACAAATAGCGTCCCATCACAGGTGATTCTTGAGATTCGCCTTTGAGGGCCAGGCATGCCGTTCGGCCTGTCCCTAGCACCCCGTACATTCACGAAGTGCATGGACGCGGTTCTCGCACCCCTGAGACTCCGGGGCATGCGAGTTTTGAACTACTTGGACGATTGGCTGATTCTAGCTCGATCTCACTCAGAGCTCATAGAACACAGGGCCACATTACTCGAGCACCTCTAGAATCTGGGCCTCACAGTCAATCGGGCGAAGAGCTCACTGTCCCCCAGTCAGAAAATTTCTTTCTGGGTACAGTGCTGGACTCGCGATCCATGACAGCACGCCTGTCATCGGAGCGCGGACTAGACATTCAGCGCGTCGCGAAATCCTTCCGCCACGGCTCTATAGTCCCGCTCAAAAGGTTTCAGAAAATGCTGGGCCTGATGGCCTCAGCAGCCTCTGTGCTCCAGCTGGGCCTGCTTCACATGCGCCCACTGCAGATGTGGCTGAAAGCGCGAGTTCCGCCCTGGGCACGGACCGCTGGTCTGTTTCGCCCTTAGGGTCGATCTAAAGTGCGTTTTCAGCTCTGAAACCTTGGAAAGTAACCGACTGGTGTCAGTCAGGTGTGAGTCTGGGGACCGCCTCGAGTGTGCAGGTGGTGTCTACGGACGCCTCCACCTCGGGATGGGGAGCGCTGCTCAAGGGCAGACCGTTCGCTGGCCTGTGGTCAGAACGGGAAAGGCTCCTTCACATAAACTGCTTGGAAATGATAGCAGTCGACAAAGCGCTACGGTGCTTCTGTCCCCAGATAAAAGGTCACCACGTCCTGGTCCGGTCGGACAACATGTCAGTGGTGGCACACATAAATCGCCAGGGCGGCGTCAGGTCCCGAAACCTTTACAGGTTGACGGAACGCCTTCTGGTCTGGGCTCAGCACAACCTGCTCTCGCTGAGAGCAGCGCATGTGCCTGGTCACCTGAATGTGGGACCAGACAGACTGTCCAGAAACAATGTCCCAGCAGGGGAATGGTCGCTGCACCCGCAAGACGATCCAACTGCTGTGGAAAACGTTCGGCAGAGCGCAGGTGGACCTGTTCGCGTCCCATGAAAACGCTCACTGTCCGAAATATTTCTCCAAGAGCAAGGACGCGCTGGCCCACGTCTGGCCTCGCTGTCCCCTCTATGCTTTTCCCCCCGTCTCGCTCCTGCCTCAAGTGCTGGAACGAATCAGGGAAAACGGATGCCCAGTGCTGCTTGTGGCTCCGCTCTGGACAAACCAGACTTGGTTCCCAGTCCTGATGCGGCTGACCAGCACTGCCCCGTGGCCAATACCGTTGAGGAAAGACCTCCTCTCTCAGGCCAAGGGCTCGATTTGGCATCCTCGCCAGCAACTATGGTCCCTACATGCATGGGCCATCAACGGGTACCCGCTAACCTCCTGGAGGGAGTGTTAAACAAGATCACGCAGGCGAGAGCCCCGTCTACTAGACGGCTCTACTAGACGGCTCTACTCCTCGAAGTGGTCTGTGTTCTCTGCCTGGTGTCAAGCTCAGGGCTTTTCACCCATAGACTGCGGGGTCACGGAAGTACTCTCCTTCCTTCAAGAGCTGCTGGATAAGGGCAGGACCCCATCCACGCTCAAAGTGTACGTGGCGGCCATAGCAACGTTTACAAAACCTGTGTCTGGCCAGTCACTGGGGAAAAACGACCTAGTCGTGCGATTCCTTAAGGGAGCTCGGAGGCTGAACCCTCCCAGACCTCCTTCAGTCCCGGTGTGGGACCTTTCTACGGTTTTGGAAGCCATGAAAGGTGCCCCGTTCGAGCCAATCCATTTGTCAGACATGAAGCATCTGTCTTTCAAAACGGTGTTTCTTTTGGCTCTCGCTTCAGTGAAGCGCATAGGGGACTTACAAGCGCTTTCAGTAAGCGCGTCATGTATGGAGTTTGGGCCTAATGACTCAAAAGTCATACTCAAACCAAGGCACGGGTACGTGCCCAAATCCCTCAACACACCGTTCAGGGCCCAGGTTATTTCCCTGTGCGCTCTCTCGGTTCATGAGGAGGAGGAGGATGCGAGTCTCCTTTGCCCTGTCAGGGCACTGAGAGCTTATGTGTCCCGCTCGTCTGTCTTCAGACAGACCGAGCAGCTCTTCGTTTTGTTTGGCGGACGCTCCAAGGGACTGGCCGCATCAAAACAGAGCCTATCCAGATGGATAGTCGACTCCATAGCACTGGCTTACACTTCTAAGGGCCTGCAGTGTCCTTTGGGTGTCAGAGCGCACTCCACGAGAGGCGTGGCCTCGTCGTGGGCGTGGTATAGTGGGGTTACCTTGAGAGATATCTGTACGGCCGCGGGCTGGGCCTCGCCGTCTACATTTATAAGGTTTTATAACCTAGAGGTTCCCGCCTTACAAGCCAAGCTTCTGTCGGTATAGAATTCAGTGCTATCTGCCCCGCTGTACCGGCCCAGATGCTGAGTTTTGCTTGTGCATCGCTCACTGAGCGATAAAACAGCTCCATGGGTGTTGAATAACCCGTAATGTTACCCAGTTCAGGCTGAACACGTTCACCCTGTCTGTGTGAAACACTGTTTACATAACTAGCTCCTGTAGGATGCTATTTCATGGGGAATGATGCTTGCAGCCTCTCTTCTCCGACTCTCTGTGAGTCTATGGTGATTATGCACTACATGAGCCCCGGGCTACTGCCCTTGGGACTTTGGTGTCGGATCCCAGTACGCACGGCGTCTTGCATTGTGTTCCCCATAGCGTAAGATATTACGCAGTACGAGAGATACTCTCATAAGAGAACGTACTCGGTTACTAACGTAACCTCGGTTCTCTCTAGAGAGGGAACGAGTACTGCGTATCTTGCCGTGCATACACAGCTCTGGTTCGCTTCGGCGATGAAAACCAGTGTACCAGTCTTATCGAGCTATATTTATAGGGCGAGACCACGCCCTTTCTGGCGGGACGTGACGAAATGGGCGCGAAATGCCCCCATTGGATATGGTGTCACGCAGCGCCTCTCTCGATAGGCTGCTGCTGTTGCAGCAGGGCAGCCAATAGGCGCGCGAGCCGTCCTGCCTATGTCTGCATGCTGCTGCACAGCGTTTTACATTAATTCAAAATTAAGGATAATTTTTGGCTTCAATATCTCGTGGAAAAGAGGTTTTCCCCATAGCGTAAGATATTACGCAGTACTCGTTCCCTCTCTAGAGAGAACCGAGGTTACGTTAGTAACCGAGTACGTTTTCGTTCGCTGTTCTGACACAATTCTCTCGTGGGGGCGGGGCTAGTAGCAGTGTTTTCTCATTGGTTATTGAGTTTTTGATTGAAAGCTTTCTTGACCTGGAAGTGAAGACGTCAGTGTTGTGTTTACATGTGTGGATCTATTTTTTACAGTCTATGGTGTGGATGTGAACGTCTGTAAGCGCAGCTTTCTATTTCATTTAGGTGATATTAAGTTTATATCTATATTTATTTATGCTACACTATATTGTTGAGATGATTTCTTATAGAAGGAATAGTACAGACAAATGATATAATTTGTCATCGTCGATATCAGAATACTGGATAGCCTACTCGTGGTAAGTCAGATAAAAAAAAAAAAAAATGTATTAATTAATACTAAACTAATACTATTTATAATACAGTACTTGCATTTTCAGGTGGAGAGGCATATTAGAGCTCAGTGTGAGCCCATAACATTATACAGCAGTTTCGTCTTGATTTAATTGGTAAGTTAGCCCAATCATTACATGACTTGTTTATCTAACGTTACATACGGTTACATTCATATTTCCCCCCTGCCACCCCAAACAACATTGGGCTAGAGTACTGTACAGTATCTGTACTGTAGCCTACAGTACAAAAAGTACTGTATCAGACAATGACCGATGCCATTGGACCAGAGCGCTGTCAATTCACCGATTCAACTTTGGCAATGTAAAGCCAATTCCTGATTAATTTGCGATGCAGAGTTTTTAAAAGAGTAGAGACAGGACTTGACCACATTCCACGTCTCTATTCATAATATGTAAACACTCAATTATTTTGAAGTATCACCCTGGGCGCAATATTTATTCTGCAAAATGCAACAAAATGCTTTTTCTGTGTCCATATTTGAGCAATAATAATGCAAAAAAAAAAAAAAAACATTTCGGAGAAAAATGTTGAATTTTTAATAGTCTTTAATAATAAATATATGTCCAAATGCAAAACCTAATACATGCAAGTAATTATGACTGAAAACATCCAGCAACTAGGGAATACACAGCCATGGATAAATGTTTATAGGGCTATACAGCCATCTACTGGTTACACAACAGTATTACAGATGATAAATGGTGCATGACTCGGAGGTAAATATTTAGTACTGTAAAATCCCTTAAAACATTTATATAATTTGTTTGAAATAATTATTTTAAGTCTACAAATTGTTACTGCATGTGGAAGTTCAAAGCAGTTTGTATTGTTAGATTATAATACATTTCCTTTCTCACTTTCCAGGGAGTTGAGCAACTTTTCCATAAACAAAATTCTGATGCTGACACAGAGGATGGAGTGATAATACCAGAGATCAACTGTCTCCATCAGACAATAATGTTACTTTGTTCAGACATATCACCTTTGAATGACTGGGATCCTGATCTTTAGACACCTGATGTATTTTATTGTAATATTATAAAATAGCAAATATTTTAATTTCTTTGGAGCTCTAGATTAAAACAAACACAGTTTACAAGTACACAAGAGGTTGCAGTTTATTCTTATTAGTCTATGCTGATCATGGATTAGCATACCAACAGCATATGAATGGGATAGTTCACCCAAAAATAAAATTCTCACTTATTTTACTCACCCTCATGCTGTCCCAGATGCATTTTACTTTCTTTCTACAGATAAATACGAATTAAGATTTTAAGGAAAGTAATCCATCTCTGCGAGTCCTAAAGATGCTTTAAAAACCACACACAGTGACCGTGATGTCCATGCGACCTCAGTGGATGAATCAATGCCTTCTGAAGTGAAACAATAGGATAAGAAAAATACTAATAATGTAAACTGTTTTAACTATTAAAAATCACTTCCAACCAACTGTCATACATGGGTTACAATCCACTTGTCTTATATGGACTCACAGAGATAAAAATCTTTGTAATTATGCATTTTGTATGTATATTATGAGAATACTGTGCATTACATGTATAGTATGCAGTTAATGTTTTGTGGCTTCTGGTCTTCCCTGTCACAACATAATCGCATCCAAGACTTTCACTTTGATACTTGTATATATGCTGTAGAGACAATAAAGAATGTAAATTTATTTGATTTTTTATTTAAATTCATTTAACTGATTTTATAAGTCATAATTGAACCTGTTGATGATTGTTCAAATATATTTACAATTTTAAATGTTAGAAGATAATATTAACTAAATGAAATAAATAAAATTATCAGCATGATTAAAAAAATGGCAACAAAAATATTCTTTGTGAAATATGTAATGAAATGCCCTTTGAGGTCTGTATCATCTGACAGCAAGCCACGATTGTAATTTTCATAGTTTAAATTCAGTGTTGGGGAAGTTACTTTTAAAAAGTAGTGTTTTCTCGTTACTCGTTACTTCTTAAAAAAGTAATCCGTTACTTTACTTAGTTACCCCCTTTGGAAAGTAACTTTTTATGTTACTCGTTACTTTTACGTTACTTTTATGTTGCTTGACTTTGGGCAGAACCCAATATCTGTTCCTAAATGTGTAGGCCTACATAAAATTCTACCATGAACTCTACTTATTGAAAAACTAGAAAAAAAAAAACTAAAAAAAGAGAGAGATTTTGAGATAGAAAAAAAATATATATTTATTTAAATAACATTTGAAAAACCTGTATAAACTGAACACCAAAGCACAATATTAACTATTGAGCGGTGGTGACGCGTTCATGAAAAATGTCACAAAGAACCGGCAAAAGAAATGATTATGAATATCAAATACATTTCAATTGTTTATTAATAAACAAGTGTTTTCTTTGTCAGTCAGTGTCGGCTGCAAAGATAAAGTTGACGATGCTGACTCGCGATCTTCACAGTAGTGAACGCGCCAGAGAGAAATGCACATTTCATATGGATTACATAAGCAGAGAGTCTGTTTTCTCTCGTTTTGAATAGTTTTGTTTTAAAGTACACATTTCAAGCTTTCTATATATTTCTCATATCTTTGAGGCAAGTAGCTTGCGCTAAGTTTCGGTTCATTTATGAGACGAGCTCAGTCCATGCGCCGGCACGGAGCTCCTGAGAAGTCCTGATTATATTGCCTGCTATATTTACTGCTTATTTATTAAAGACAATTGGTTGATGAAACATTGATTAAAATTAAGATACAATTAATACAAAACGAAATTCACTTTAAAGAAAGGCTTTCTACAAAAACAAACTTAATGAAGTGGTCAAAATCATGTCTGCCCACTCCATTTGTCTCCCGATTGCGCATCTTATGCTCTTACTCATGCTTTTCACTTTTCATATAATCAACATTGATGAAATTAAAAAATAAATTATTTTATTTAAATATATATGACATATTTAAATATATATAAATATGAAACTAAATCGTTTTCTTTAATGACTAGGCTACAACACGCAGGTCTATACAGAGAAATTTAATATCGGAGCGGGATTTGAGCGAACGCCGTCTTACTGTAAGCATGTGGGGGTAGAGGTACGATTTTCGAGCAATCATCGAATATTATTTTGCTTGATATGCCAATCCTTAATATTTGGTGTTTTAAATGCCTGTTTGAGGTCTCTGTGAAAGATTTAAAGCAGTCTTTTAGTGCCGCTTTCAGAGCGGTCTAGTCCGAAGAACTGTTACGTCCATATTGTTTCTTTCCTCATAAATGCGAACACGAAAAAGTCAATACAATTAATATTTTATGTTCTGTGGAGAGCCAACCCTTCTTCATCCGGTGGGAGTATTACTTTTGGTTTGCGCAGTGTAATTCACAGAATTGATTGCTCTGCTACCAGCCTCTGTCACGGAGCTTGTGACTATTGCAAGCGCGCAGCTGAGGAGACAGTGTTGCTGTCAAATCTGTCCATGGGAAAAGTAACGTTGTGCGGAATTGAAAAAGGAACTACGTTTCGTTACCAAATTCTCAGTAGTAACGCGTTAAACTACTTTTTACCCGAAAAAGTAGTTACGTTACTGTAACGCGTTACTTTGTAACGCGTTACACACAACACTGTTTAAATTCCTCTTATTTAAGTGATCATACATTTTGATGGTGTAAATGCATATGGTAACAATGAGAAATTTGATGGCCATGGTTGCCAACCTTGATTACCTGGTTGAAGTGAAACTTTCTTGACGGCTGAATATATCACACACGTATACTAGTAGGCTATTCTCTTTAAATTGTAATAGCACAACCTAATCAGAGCCTAACATGCAAAAGAATCATCAGGAATAAACAAATATTCTCCTAAAACATTGGACACAATGTTTTAAGTAGGCATATACAGTAGGCCTACTTTGATGTACAATTACACCTGAATAGACTGAAGAGATCTCTTGCGCTCCTAAAAGTTTCTGTTGACAAAGTAGTAGCAGCAGCAGGTAAATACAGATAAAATTCAAAAACAAACATAACTTAATATCACTAAAATTAAATAGAAAGCTGCGCTTACAGACGCTCACATTCCACACAAGTAAACGCAACACTGACGTCTTCACTTCCAGGTCAAGAAGCTGTCAATTAAAAACTCAGTAGGCAATGAGAACACACTGCTACTAGCCCCGCCCCCACGAGAGATTTGTGTCAGAACAGCGAACGAAAACTCAGGGAGCGTAAACGAAAACTTCAGAAGCGTAAATGAAAACTTAAGAAGCAAACGAAAACTTCAGAAGCGTAAATTAAAACTCTGGAAGCGCATTTGTAAGTTTAGATCAGTAAAAGAAATATGAGGAATAGTTAGCAAAACATGCAGTGTATTAAAAACAAAGTAAAAAAAAATGCTTGCGATTCATTCTTTTTCAGTTTCAAAGATATTTTATTCAATTTCAATTTATATTTTCATTAGTTTCTTGAAAAGTTACGTTCATTATTATCGGCACAAAAATAATTCCATAGTACACAACCATCATATAATGATAAAAATCTATCCAGTGTTTTTGTTTTAATCTCCTTATATGTTTTTCCCTGCCTCAAATCGAGCCGTTCGACCATGTGACGTCACACGGTCGGACGCCCCTCCCACGATTGTTGATTGACAGCAGCGTTTCAACACATCCTCGCCCTGAGCGAGCTGTCATCATATTCCACTATTGTTGATACGCTGGAGCAGAATGGCGTCTAAGCGATTGTGGTGTTCTGTTCTTGGGTGTAATAACGAACACAGCAGTCATTTTGATGTTCCTAAATCCGAACCGCTGAAGACGCAGTGGCTGAGTTTTGTTTTCGAAGGGAATATTCACCACGAGCAACGTCAATGCTTTCATGTTTGCGCGAATCATTTCTCACCAGACTGTTTTATAAACAAGGATCAGTATAAAGCTGGTTTTGCTAAGAAGCTGCTCTTGAAAAAAGAATCGGTACCAACTGTTCATGTTCCTGCTGCACCTCCAGAAGAAGTGAGTGTAAAATTGTATTAACCTTTATATTAAAGAGCATATTGCAGGTAAAAAAAAATCTAAATTAATATATAAACTTGTATGAAAATACCATATGAAAAGTTAATGCAGGATTTAAAATGTTTTAAAACGACATAAGGGCACTAATTTAGTAGATAAAGTGAGCGTTTCTTGGACTGCTCGTAAAAACGGCTTTTTTTTCAACATCGCGTCATTTTACGTCACGCCAGGGAGCCTCAGCCTCGGCTCAGTGCAGAGTAGGCTGGCATTCAGTGAGAGCGGTCGTGAGTCAGTGTGTTTTAGGTAGTTTTTGTATTTCAATTTATCATCGTCATGGTAAATTATTGTGTTTGTGGAGGTTGCAAAAACTCCGGCCTGTCAGGACATTGAGTCCACAGGTTTCCATAACAAGAAAAAGGACGGTGCTGTATATATTTCGTGCCTGGTGCGGTTTGTGCAGGTGAAGAGACGGGATTTCTCTTCCGCATCGGCTTCGAGAACCGCGGTCGTGTGTAGCGTTCACTTCAGATCGGAGGATTATCATCCCGGCGATATGATGGAGTTTAACATGGGATGCCGAAGCAAGAATATTGATCGTCGTATACTGTACCAATGGCATCAAATAGTGTGATATAGGTAGTCATGCCCTAAATAGAGGCAACTTGTAATTGAAAAACAAAATGACTATTGTTTAAATATTCAAATCTTTAATTTTCTGTTTATGTTATAACCCAGGTGAAAAATATGTTTTAAAAATGTACTTGAGTATGTTTTTAGTAACTTACAATAGAAATATACTCAAGTATAGTTTTTATACATTTAATAGTATAAATCTACCCTAAACATACTAATGTCTGCTGGCCTGATATACGATGGTAATAATCTGTACAATATTGTGAGCACAGCGTATATCGTTAGCGAACGTGTATCTATAAGCACGTCTCTCACCAAGACACCTGTCCTGTTCTCCACTGGTTCTCCTCACACCACAACTAAATTTTGTCTCTGACCGTTCTGTCTAACATTAATACTGGCCTGTCCCTACTCTCTTGGCAGCATAGCAGGCTCATAATTGTATGGCTGTCGTCCGTCATACGAGTAAGTATTTCCTCAGCATCTGAAATGTCATTGCGATCCATTGTTTTCCTGTTGTTTGAATCGACCGCTCTCCCGCCCGTTACGTCACGCCCGCCACGGCCATTTTCAGACACGGAAGTAAAATTTTCTCACAAAAACGACTCCAGAAGCTTCTGTAGCGTATTTATAAGAATATTTTAAAGAAAATCTAGTTCCTACATTATTTTTCTATACATTGACTCGTTGGGTCCTCTAACCTGCAATATGCCCTTTAATCTTTGCAAATTGCTTGCACGCTTCACGATGAATGCGGCTAAGGTACACTCAGGGTACATTACGGCAT